GGCAGTGGCGGGACTCGAACCTCGGATCATTGGATCCAAAGCACACTTGTAACAGCGGCTAAACCGCAGCGCCACCACCACTGGGTTCTTTTTCTCCCAGGCGAAATAATAATAATAAAGTAAATATCTTTTCCTTTTTCTATTTATTGAATATACAAATGTACAATCAACTTTCAGGAAGAGGGGCTGCGGTCATACAAAGGCTTCCTGGAGAAAATACAGATCTAGGGAAGACGGGTGGCTGTGGAGCGGTTTGAATCCGGGACATTCAGGTCACTAGTTGGTGACCTAAGCACTTGGCCACCACCGCCCAAGACGGTATCATGCAGTTTTTTGTGATAATAGTTCCCGCTGTTTGGAATAGGTTTGTTATAGGGTTAATGTTGATCTGTTTTTAACAAAGTTACTTTATCTTTATTAGCACATATGACACCTGTCTGAGTTTATACTGTGTTCCGAACTGATCACGGTACAGCAGTCGTTCTATTAAAAAAGCGGTCGTTGGTTGTTCGTGAGCGCGACAATGCCAGGTTGATCAGACCAATGTAGGTGCATTTCCAGGGATTCACAACTGTTACTTCCATCTATCTGATCCTCAAGGCAGTAGGGCGTAGTGGGAAAACACCACTGTCTTGGCTGCCAAATTTATCGAATAATGCACCCTTTAGAGTCAAATTCCTATTGTTTCCGGTACACCCCCATCCCTACTCCAGATGATGACCACTGTCACAACCAAGTGTGAGTGTGCTTCGTACACCTCTTCTTGAGGTTGCAGCCAGGCTTTTTAGCCCTATACAAACTGCCCGTGGTCCACTGAACCAGATGTTAGCCATATGTTCTCTCACTTTGGTGAAGAAACTTCCGTTAAGTGAAGTCATTGAAGTCAGCAAAGACCACGGTAGTAACCAGTTTCTTTGCATGTATCTGCTAATCGATGGTTTGTTATCTGCAGTCATGCTGATTTAATATTTAGAAATGTAGTATACGTGAGCAGTTTCAAACTTGAATCGATAATTATCTCATCTGCGATAGCACTTGTTTCTTTTCGGAAAACTATCTCTTTGGTGAATAATTAATTTACATCTTCCGCTGGTTCCTAGATGAAGTTTTCACCCAGCATCCAATTGACGGGTCACGAAAGTGGATCTCAACGGAATCAGCCACATTCATGTGTTTCGGTTGTTCTTATGATCATACTTTTTTATATGAAACGTTAGGATTCCTTATACACAAGTTATACGAACTATGAAGCGATTGTGGTCGCAATGAAAAACATGGGTTTCAATGTACAATGCGGTTTGAAGAGAAACCTGGTTCGGAATGAGGACAAGGACAGAGCATCAGTGTTCAAACAGTGCTATTTAAGCTGAGTTTTCCGTGTCTGGTGAAGCAACCAGACAACCAATACTGAGGTCATGCGCAGTGATTCAGGCAATAATTACCGCACAATGTGGCGGGTGTTCGACCGACATCGATTTTTTTTGTTACACACATTTATACGATGAACAGCAGACGGTTTGTACTCCATAGTCACGAGGACCTGCTGTTCAATGATGGAAACTGACGTCCTAATCCACGGGAGTTACAGTGACGAAACTCATAAGGCCCCTTTAGGTTAGTTTACAATGGTTGGTATGCTTGCTACTCATGTCACTATATAAGCTGTCTGGGCTTGCGGCGATGTTTGCCTTTGCAAGTGGTGGATGGATAAAAACCTAGAGTAGTCAGACTGAAGCCTGGTATGAGGGTATACAAATCTGACCAGGGGAGGTGGTCATGTAGTTTGTGTCAAGATTCCTAATTGGGAGTTGAGGCCTAGAGATACTGAGTGACCTGGATGTTTAGCAAACAATGCATCTACCCGGCACAAATTTATTTTATCTGCATTTGGCATTTCCATGTACTGCTCCTATCTTTGTACCTGTCCACCTACTCCTTCATCTGAAAGGCAGCAAGCAGGTCGGCCGCGTGCATGTTCAAGGTCAGTGTTTGAATGAACTGAAAAGCTGTAGTAACGATTTTTAAACTCACCTTGACCATGTATGCGTCAATATGAGCTTATCGTCTTGCGCTTCTTCTTCGTTACTGCGGCTGGTTCCTTGTAAAGGATAAGCCGACATGATCATGAAGTTCCTTTGGAGTTTGATGCAAGAGTCGTCCCCAGCGTCACTAGGCGTTTTTTGTTTTCATTTTCTAGCCTTTGCACAACCAAGTGCGAACTGCAAGACAACAGAAAGTAATTCCTCGCCTCGGAAGTCAGGGGGTCCATGGCTTTAGTTTTAAAAGGTCAGTCACATCGACGTTTGTCACGACACCGTCATTGGACTAATGCGGCTTTAAACAGAAGCCAGGTGACCAGCCTCAAAGCCACCACACCGTGGTAGTGCCGCCGCTGTTTGTTCGCGACTGTTTATTCGTTGCGGTATGCCACAGCATATTCATAGCTGTCCTTCTTTGGTGAAGGTATCCCCCTATCCACAACCCGAGGACGCGCCTGGTGGCATTCAGCTCTGCTTAACCCGAGGGCATCCAGGTTATCGTCCTGCGCACTAAACTTGGCCAAGATATCGTTTCCCTGTGCCATAGCTATATGGTTCTAAAAATTGTCTAGTGCAAAGAAAAGTTCACATCCTATTAAGTGGCGAGTTTTTGCTCCCTGTGTCCTTATAAATGAGACCTAACTGTTCGCTTGTTACTGTCTCCCAACTCTCGTTTATCTGTCCGTATAGTGTCCTTCGATTCAGCAAAGGTTCATGCACTGCGTCAGCATTTGTTAGGGATTGTACAGGGCAGTGTGAAACAGGCAAGGGAACACCACGCCGCAAGAAAAATGATACAACCAGCCTCAAAGCTTTTGGATCAATTGATTGTCGGTAGGTAAACCTGTCTTCATTTCTACTCTCAGCTACCACCTTTTTCCTCAATTTGTATGACAATTTCTTCAACCTGATTAGCCATATCCATTTATTAGGTCCTAGAAGGCATGCATTTATCACAGCTAGTTTGAGATCTCCCAAACTGACCGCACTAGTCCAACATCAGTGTAGTTGTACATTCACAATTACGGTTCATCAAACAGCACCCGGGGATTTTTTTCTTCTTGCTCTAGTTGAGTACGTGAACGACATTTTAGCCATTTCATCTCCAACCAATTACAGTTTACTGGCTATATCAATCAGTCGTCGGCAATCAGTTTTCGTGTGCATGAATTTGGTCTGATTGTACTCCGCCAGTGACGACGGCTCATTTTAATTCTGCCACTTGGTGCGGGGAAATCAACTGCGATCAGCCAGTTAGCTGGTTTCGTGACTGTTGTTGCCGTTGTTGTCGTTTGACTCGCTCTCTCACCAGTTGACATTGAAACCCTTCAAAATAATTCCTTTTGAAATACTGATAGAAATACAATGACTTATATCTAACACGTTCAGTTCAGTTCAGGGTACCTGACCGAAGTGAATAAGGTCTATTTTCGAATTTGGCGTGGACACTGTATGGTCTGAATCTTGGTGCTCAAAGTATGTGATAAAAGCGCAGTCCTATTCATCAGTCCACCGGTCTCAACTGGGTGTAGGTCCGAACCACCCACACCCTCCCCCCGATTGATGTTTTCCTCTGGCGCTCAGCATTCTTCTCTCTTATCATCGTAAACTGTTCTTCATTAACTTGTGCATATATACCCAACTTTTGAGGGGCGGTTGAAACTCCGTATAAAATGGATTTTGATGCGTACACCTCTAGAGCAGTGAAGTGGGTCCATAATCTGTTCGCAGGTGCTATAGTGCTAGGTTGCCGAACTTTATGTCTTTCGGAAGGATTCATAATTAGCTAACGAAAGTCCTTAGCTGAAGGTTCACTGCTTAATTAAATATGTCACACACCTGCCACGTGATTCACGTGTCCCGAGTGCGGAATAGTCAAACAGAACCAAAGACCCACAGGAGCCAGTTCCCATTCCTTTTCGCTTAGAATTTGAACTTAAGCCCACTGATACGTACCTGCTACTGGTGATCCAGATCTCCTATTAATGAAAACCCCCTGTCACAGAAGCCAGCAAGTACAACATCTTCGTCAAGAACACATGAATCACTTCTTATCTCAATCGCGGTGTTTTGTCTTCCCAACGTAAGGCTAATTGTTATGTCATGAAATTCTCGTGTTTTTTGTCGTACGATCTACCCGATTGCTGGGACTGTTACAAATTTGCACCACATAGAATTGCCGAGATTGGTAGGCAACTGAATGCAGCGTGCCGATCGGAATGACCCAACCGACTTGTTATACCCACCGGAGATAACATGTCTCGGGCCACGACCCATAGACCAATGGCAAGCTTCAATTTAATCTAGTGGAGTTCAAAAGATTGTTTGAGTGGTCTTTAAACATACCGATGCATGGCTATTCCCGAGACTCCACAATAGTCAACTTCTAAAAGAATCCAATCAAAGGGTTTTAGTTTTTTTTTTTAGATACAATCACCATTTACCCCCCCCCTTCCTTCCCCTATTTAACCACCACTGGTTGATGGGCTTCTCTAACCCAGACGTAGTAAAACTGATGTTTGAACTAAGTTCGTTTAAAATATCACTATTTTTGGCGTCAGTACTACCGATCCTCCGGTGTCGGTTAAGTAAACGCGCGGTTGGGTGCGGCCAAACACGAACAGTTTGGTCTTCGATAGTTGAAACCACATGGGGGCTACTCCCGCCCTGTCACACAGATTAAGCTGCATACGATGGGTTTGAACGCGGGCTTACCAATTGGATGATCTCGTGGGGTTGTTCCTTTTATCTCGAACAAAACGAGATTTTCCGCAACAAGTGTAATGGATTAGTTGACTTTTACTGTCCTGATCGCACACCAATAATCCGTTGTTTTTTACTTCTTGTAATTAATGCAGCTGTATCAGCTAGGGTTTTATTTTTTCCAAATCCCATTCGATTACGCTCTCCGAAACATCAAAGCACTCACCTAGTATTTCACTTTTCTTTCCGATCACACAGTGGACCAGAAGGAATCACCGGAGCGTCGGCCCGTTTCTTCTCATGACAAACGATCTATTCGTGATGTGCGCTCGTCCGGGTCCCGTTCCAATACTAGTAAATCAAAGCATTCTACATTGTATACGCAACGCCTGCAATCTCGTCTGGAAGAATCTCTAACTGCGGACACGACGGTCCCCGATGTGGTTGTTGACTCTCGTGATCCTGATCAACAAGCCTTTGTGATGGTGGATTCGGGCAAGCAGGACGATAGCCATACAGAAAAGGATAACCTGAAGCCTGTCTCGGACCGATCAGCAAGCGGTGCTCCCGAAGTCTCAGATTCTCCTGCAACATTGCCCGATCCCGTTTGTGAGCCGCTTCTACTACCTCCTCAACCCAGTCCCGTATTGTCTGAGCCAGTTCATTTATTATCGCCCACTCCGATCCTCAGTCAGTCCAGTACAGGTGAAATTACCACCGAACCGATGCACTCCACATCGACTGTTGTTGTCGATCCCGCGGAGAACCATGTAGCTGCGTGAGTATGTACTTTCCCTGTTTCAGCTCGACATTCAGTCTCCCCACAGACACATGCGCAGAAGACTAGTATTCTGGGAGTGTATGCTAACATTTATTTTCCATTCGACTGTTGCATTCAAATTCTTATTTGTGAGCTAACTGCCTGTATTGAATGACGAGCTGATCTTGAAGTCTACTAATGGAAAGAATAATATGCGAACTGGGTTCGATTTAGAAACTTCAGAGGGCATATGCGTGCCACCTCCTTGTGTCAATGTACAATTAGGATTCAGTATTTTCTCTCTGTTTTCGTGTTTCCGTTAAACACACGCTGGTCGTGCAATCGGCTTCCTCTGTATTTCTGTGCTGGCCTCTGTGATCTTGGACACAATGCATACTTCATTTTTCAGTGGGCGATTTACCGTAACAGACCGGCTCATCTTCAGCATCATCATCGTACAGCGAAATACAATGAAGCGAAATTCGCTGATCGCTACCAAACTCGCAATGCATACAAGGTTAGTGGTAAAATTTAAGGTGGACAGGGATCAGACCTATTTTGAGGGAGGGAGAAGAAGGTGAGCCTCTATGGTCAACACAGAGTACGCAATCGAACTCTGCATACATACGGTTTCAAGCATTCAAGCATTCAATAAGAAAGGATAACAAGAACACCATTGCTGTCGGTTCGCTATCATATCCCTCAATGTCTCCAATCAACCAGTTGTGGAGTCTTTCAGACCCCAATCTGGAAGCCGCGAGACACCTACTCTACCTAATAGTTCTGTGCATTTGTTCATGCCTCGTTTCCACGTCATCTGATGACCTCCACTTGGTTTCCTCCAGCCCGGATTAGCCACAACCAATAAAGCGCGGTGCGGCAGACGATGACTGGGCATACGCAATACGTGCCCTAGCCAGCGAAGCCTAGTAATCTGAATCCGGTGTGCTACCAGGTTTATACTTCATAGACTCCCAAACACACAACGGCTTACTTCCACGTTACTAACCCGTTCGCTCGATCCAACGTGGGCTAAACTGCGTAAACACCGATAATCAAAAACTTCTAGTCGACGGATATCTTCTACTCGCAAATTCAGGGTCTCACAACCATAAAGCAGGACTAGACGAACGCTAGCACAATATACACAACCTTTCAACTTCAGTGAAACTTCGCGTCTACGCCAAAGGTGTTTCACTCCTGCGTATGCTGCTCGAGCCTTGGAAGTGCGGGCGGTTATCTCCTTTGCTGCACTACCGTCATTGGTCACGAAACTACCAAAGTAGGAAAAACAATCCATCACACCTAAATCCTGACCATTTAGTGTCAGAGCGGGAGTAGACAAAACCCAGTCCTGCAGCATCAATTGGCACTTTGAAGGTGCAAAGCACATACGGAATGTGGCTACTACACTTATTAATCTTTCAAGTGCTCTTTGCGCGTCCTCCATACATTCGAACAGACAGACGATGTCATCGGCGTACTCTAAATCGCACAGCTTTTCTCCAGCTGCCTATTTAATACACACGTTTTGGAGTTCCCTTAGCGCGCTCTCTCCAGTATTTCGTCTACGACGAAACTGAACAGTACCGCCGAAAGAGGGCATCCTTGACGGACGCCGCTGCTGATGACGAACGGCCTATTTAGTTCGTTATACCCTTACACGACCAGAGGTATGTGAGTACAGTGACCTCAGTAGGTTAACGTACTTCTGGGGCATTCCTTTTCGAAGAAGGCAGCCTATCGGAGCTTCGCGGTCAACTGAATCGAAGGCTCCTTTCAGGTCAAGAAACACTGCGATCGTTTGCCGACGGCGGGTATGAAGCAGCTCAAGGACCTGAGACAACATAAAAGTTTGACCAATACATCCACGGCCAGGCGGGTATCCGGCTTGCTGTTCACGGATGTTCGTCTTTCTTAAAGGCGTCAGACGTCAAAGTATAACCGAAGCTAGCACTTTGGTGACTATCGGGATCAAACTTATCCCGCGGCGGTTTTCGCAGTCGTTCCGAAATCCTTTCTTGAAAATCGGGACGATCAATGATTCGCTTCAAGATGAAGGAATGCGCTCTTGCGTCCAAATGTTGCACAGTAAGGTAGTAATAGAGCTTACGAGGTTATCACCGCCCATCTAGAAAAGAGTAGGAGGGAGCTCATCCGGTCCTGTTGCCTTGCCTCGCTTCAGAGCTTGAATGCAAGACCGAACTTCTGCTTCCGTTGGAGGATCGCATGACAGTGCCCACAGAGCTTCAGTTATAGATGAAGCAGCCTGGTTGGCACTGGGCCAGCTGAACTGTACGCTGAAGTATTCCACCCAGGGATTGAGTCGTTGATCTCTATTGTGAATAGCTTGTCCCCTCTTATCGCAGACTGTTTTACTAACTGGACTTCGCCGAGATCCCGTATTGCGTATCAGTCGGGACAGTCTTCGACTATTCCCCGATGCAGCTGCTACTTCCATTTCATTAGCTATTGTTGCCCACCATTTATCACGGTCCTTCTTGAGCTGACGTTGTAGCTGCCACCTAACTCTATTTTGATCCTGGCAGGTCTGGATTTATCGTATTTGCTCCATCAGGGCTACTGACTCCTTAGATATCCAATGCCTCCGACGGGTTTGAGGCTCAGACCCACTAGCAACATTCGCTGCGGAATGCATTGCTCGCCTAATCTGATCCCACTGCTCATCTACATCATCGGTTGGATGCATTAAGGGAAACCGAAGTCTNTGGCTGGAATATCCCCATTGTCTCAATCTGGAGACCGTTATTTGCAAATGTCAATTTTAGTATGTAAAACTCATGCAGAATGATCATCGTATTGTAATGCAAAAAATAGCCCCTCATCAACTAGTTGCTTTTTGAGATTGACTGTGATCAAAGAGCAACAGTGCGTATATTTAGATCCAAAATTGCATCACACATAGTCCCGTCATCGGTTGTGTTTATTCCTTTGATTTTCTCACTTGATAGGCGGCCAGGATTTGACGTTTTCCCTTTTTCCAGGCAACTTTATATGCATATTATCTGTTTCACTTACCTCGCTTTCCATTTGTCTAGCTATGCTCGAATCCAATCCATTAATTTACCCCGTTTGTTTTTCACCCGTATAAATGAAGAACTACACTTAGCCCGAAAAAGGTTGAACCGAGCAGACAGTCTCCGGTGATTAATTCAAACGAAAATTGGTCTTCGTTTGATGATGAGGTTTCATTGGAACCAAATCCACAGCACATGGATTCTGTGCACGCTGACATAGTTGACGAATGTGATTTATCGATTGAGGCTGAAGTGAGCGGTGAAGGAATCAAAGAGGAAGGAGAAGTGGCTGATGAGTTAGATGAAGACGAGGAAGATATGGATAACAGATCGGTACCAGCAACACCGGATCGCTTGCGGAGACTCCGAGATCAGCGAGAGGACCGTGCGGAACGACATGATCGACGATCCTGGTCTCGTTCGCTCAACGTCAGCGAAACACAATTGGAGCTAGGTAGTCCAAGGTCGTGTGCCCGACGGTCAGACTCCGGAACGTCACGTGAGCGACGATCGCAGAGTCGGCGAAAACCTCATTTTCAACCTCACTTGCAGAATCGAAAATCATCTACGGTTACGTGGAGAAATAGCTGTCCGACGCAGAAAAATAAAAGCCACTCACGCCTGAATTCATCTGAAAGAGGTAGGAAAATAATCATAGTTTCACAAATCGCTTTCATTTATCCCTCCTCCTTGAAAGACTTTTGTCAGTTAGTTTACTAGGGAATTCTCAACAAAACACGAGAAACCCTTTCAAAATTTTCACGATCTGTGATTTCTCTTGGGCTAAAGAAAGAGCTCGCTCCAATTAGTTTTCTTTCTGTCTTTTATCTTTGAATGGGCGGCTTAGGTTAAGTGAATAAAAGCATCATAGAAGCCTGGAGGTAGTGTTTTACATTCTGGCACTGCCGCCCATCTTTCTTGTCTCTGTGCTTCTACTCAGTCCGGAGCATTTCCCTTCCGGAAAACTAAACGCACTTTATTAATTAAGTGCCGTATAAGTCAATACATGAATACAAAAATGCATAACACTCGCAAGTAATGAGTTTCATTGGCTGCCCTTTATGTGACTCGGTTGAAATTAGTTATATATGTCTTCCCACTTCATTGCGACATCCTCACAGATCATTCTCACATATCCTGACCACCCGTTCCACACAGAACTAACACGTTGTCGTTCTCATAATTCAACGCGCTCCCAATTCCGTCAAGTTTCATCTCGAATTAACGCTTGCCACAATTCATCTATACCATATCTTGCTCGTCTGCTCATCAACAAAGGGCGGACAATAAGTGAACTTTGTCTCAACCTTGGATTATGAAATGTCACCATGTCTGTAAAACAATTCCTCACAGTTTGCTATGTACATTGTGACGGTTAGCATGTGTGATTTTTAAACGGGAATGTGAGCGCCAGTGCTTGAAAAAGTTATACACAATACACGATCCTCATTCGTATCTCGAGAAATGCAAAAGTAGTGCAATCATTAGATGCGTTTGTGGTCATATTTTGCCGGTTGGGTTCTCCCACACAACGAACGGATCATGAAGATCATCGCAAGGCATCCTGAATGCTACCGGAGTATCTTCCCGGTTATTCGTGTGCTAAGTATTATCTTGTGATATGCTGCATCAGTATGGATAAATTGTGCTCTTATTGAAGCTTTACAGCTTTCGCACTGCTTGCTCCGAGCCTGGGTCGTACCCACCCCGTCCCACCTTGGAATGTGGACACACTCATTGTCTCGAGGGTCCTAGTCTGACCACTGCTGTCGCTCATTTTTCCGTCTTTCTAGACCGAATCATGAGTAAACCACCTTCTACT